TTTAGCAATTAAATCTTCTACATGCCTCTGAATTTCAGCTCATTGGGTGGGTGGCATTCGATATGCAGGAAGGTTAGGTAATGCTGCTCCAGGCACCAAATCAATAGCATGTTGAATACTCCTCATTGGTGGTAAACCTTGTGGTAATTCATCACCAACTAACTCTTGGAATTCCATCAATATGTGCTGAATTTCTTTCGGAAATTTGAAAACTCATTAAATTTCAGCAGTTGATCAACTCCTATCTCTTTAGCAACAAGTGCATTACATAATTCCCATTTCTTTGCTCTATTGTTCAAAATTATGGCCTATTAAAAACCCACTAACTTTGGTTACCTTAGGAGTGTTCTTCACTTCTTTGAGTGGTTGCAAGCTCAACTTCTTCCCATCTTGATGAAATACATATGTGTTGGCCTTAGGCCTAGTTTGGGATTGCTGTCACTTTTAAAAAAAGTTGCTTCTGCTGTGCTTTAAAAATAATTAGCTGTAAATTAAAGCAGCTCTATGTTTGGTAAACACTATTTTTAAAGTGCTATTAATACAAAAAGCAGTGTTAAAACCGTTTGGTAAATTTTAATATAAAATTATTGTAACTGTGAATAATGACTAAAATAGACATGATGTTAAAAGTGTTATGCACTAATCATGTGGTGGTAGTGGTAGTGATAGTGATGGAGTGGAGTTGGTGGTGGAGATGAAGGCGAAGTTGATGGTTGTGGTGGTGGGGATGGCATTTGTGGAGGTGGTGGTGGTGGTGGCGGTGGTGGTGAATGAGGAGGAGGTGATGTTGGAGGTGGTGGTGGCGGAGGATGAGGAGGAGGAGGATGTGGTGGTTGTGGTAGTGGTGGTGGCAGTGGTTGTGGAGGTAGTAAATGTGGTGGTGCAAGTGGTGGAATTGGATGTAAAAGTGGAGGTGGTGTTATTTTTTTAAAATGAATGATGATATTTTGAGAATTAAAAAAATTCATTAAATGTTCATCTCTGCTTCTTTTGAAAGTAGCTTTGAAAAGCAACCCAGAGTTAGCTTTTAAAAGCTGCTGTCAAAAGGCCACTGCTTTTAAAATAATCGGGATATTTTAATTTTACCAAACACCTTAAACTGCTTAACTTTAAAGTTAAGCAGGTTTTTGGCCAAAAAAAAGCAATCCCAAACGGGGCCTTAGTGTAGTGAATCATGTCTTTGTCAACCAACCAAGGTCTTCCTAATAAGATATGACATGCATCCATGGGAACAACGTCGCACCACACTTCATCATCAATGTTATTACCAATAGTAAATTTAACCAAACACCTTGAAGTAACTAATACCTTATTCCCCTTTCGAAACCATGCAACCTTGTATGGATTAGGATGCTTCTCGATCGGTAACTTAAGTTTTTCCACTGCCTCATTTGAGATGATGTTCTCACTACTTCCTCCATCAAGGATCACATTACACACCTTTTCCCCACAGAAGACTTGTGTTCAGAATATATTATGACGCCGCCAATCTTCTTACTCAACTTTGGGAGTAGTCATCACTCGTCTGACCACCAAAGATTCTCCTTCAACTGGTAATAGATTAATAACTTCCTCTTCATTACCAAAATCGTCATAGGTTGGTTCAGGAAAATCAGTTACCTCATCTTCGTACTCTGCCAAATTCACCCTTTTTTTGTGGACAACCGTAAGAGGTGTGCCCCTTCTCATCACATGTGTAACAACGCACTTGTGATGTACTGTCGCCCCTAAGATTGCTTGGAACAACAGTGTTCTGAGACTCAAATTTCGCAATTTTCTTCCATTTTTCATTCCTATCAACGCCCACCATGTTCCTACCACCAGTTCGGGCTCCTTGTTCGCTTCGAACCCCTTGAACAACTGTTGTATTTCTCTGCCAATAATTATCTGTGCGTCCATAAACAAATCTCCTTCCTCCAAGTCGCAATTGTCGATGCTCGGCCATTAAGGCATATTGTCGAGCATCTTCAAGGTTGAACAAGCGAACCACACCTAGCTCATCTCGAATGGTTTTATTCAAACCAGAAAGGTAACAAGATGTCATATGTTCATTAGTCTCATTTAAACCAACGCGAAGCGAAAGATTATCAAACTCAGAAGTATATTCCTCGACAGACATGTCGCGTTGTTTTAAGTTATGAAACCGTTCATATAATTCCATAGTGTAATCAGCTGGTAGAAACTGCTTGCGTAACTTGGCTTTCATAAGATCCCATGTGTTGATCTTCTGCTTTCCTTGTCGAACACGCTGCTCTTCAACTCTCTTCCACCATTGAAGGACGATACTCTTCAATTTAAGCTTTAAAAACAACACTCTGTGAACATCTGTCATAGGCTTCCATTCAAAATAATTCTCTAGGCTTGCTTCCCAATCCAAATAATCTTTGGCATTCATCTTTCCATAGAAATCAGCAACTTCAATTTTAATTCCTCCACCATTCAAATCCAACGCACGAACCAACCACTCTTCCAATCCACCTCTATCACCATCATCATGGTTTCTAGCATTATGAAAAGGGTTGTCGACGTCCGTTTCGTCTTCATATTCATCCTCACCACCACCTTCCGGTATGTGTAAGGGTCCGCAGTTGCGCTTCGGAATCTCCATATAGGCATCCGCGCGTTCCTGTCGTTGGAGGGTTTGCACTGCTCTTGACAAGTCTTCCATCATATGCTGCATCTCAGCCATCTCTGTGTGTTGGGCTTGGGTCCCTCATCCATGACCTCTAGCACGTCCAACCATGGTGTGGAGCAAGGATTAACCTGGCTCTAATGCCAATTTGATGCAGGGCAGCGGCTATAAGCGGCTGTCCAGCGACCCAAATGTACCAGAAATACAGAGAATAGGATAAAGCTGTAGAATTGAAGCTGGAACGAAGATAATTGAGTTATAGGGCTAAATTCCCAAAGAAAACTCTTTAGACTAAAGTCTGAAATTGTATTGATGAAAAACTGAATACAAAAGTCTCTTAATAGCCTATTTATACTAGAATACATTAGCCTAGAATTCTTATTCCTAGTTTACTAAGAAAACCCAATTGATAAAGGAAAGTAGAAACAAAACAAGAAACTTAAACCAAATCCTAATGAAGAGAGGAAAACATTTAATTTAATAATTTAAAATATCCAAAGCTTAGCCCTTTTTGACTAGGATTGATGCTCCTGCATCAAAAGCCGTTGTACAGGTTGTGTTTCTAAGTCCATAAAACAATCCTAGACCACAAAGCTCTGTCATTTCAACTTTTCCACAGGCACCAGAAAATAGAAAAGTTCCCAGAATTGCTTATTTGCAAATATTTTTTGTGCATGGTGCTGTTTCACTTCTGTTATGTGTCATGTGCTTAACCATGCACTACTCACATTAAGTCATTGGCACTAAGGCTGGCATTTTCTACCGAGATACCGCAAAACTGTAATTTCACCGCAACCAAACCGTAATGTCGTAAAATACCGACCACATATGTGCCTTTAATTTTCAGTTCAGTTTGTTCAGTCTTTTACTGTTCACCATTTGTTTGGTGTTGCGATTATGTCTAGATTGACCCCTACATTTAAGAACACGGTGAATATCTTTTTTCCAGGCAAATGACCTCTTCAGTTTTTTCTCGACAGCTTATCACATTTGAGGATATACCTGCCATGGTTCTGATCCTTTGGTCTATTTTCCATAGTAAACTATCTAATTGACTTTAAGGGCACTTCCAGCAGTCAAACCCTTGCCATGGCAAGGGGGGAGCTAGGGCAGACACTATTCACGTGAATAGTGTCTGCCTTTGCAAAAAGTAAATTGCACTTCCAGCAGTTGCCATGGCAAAGGGCAAGTACTATTCAATTTTTTGTTTTTTTCATAAATTTGTTTACCTAAACAAGTAATTTGGACAATATTTTCGGATGAGATTTTCTGATAAAATATTCGGATAAGATTTTCAGTTTCAAATTTCAGATAAATTTTTGTTTCAAATTTCAGATAAATTTCAAATTTTCAATTTCATATAAATTTCATCTGAATTTCAAAAAGGAATTTTATTTAATAGTTTCTTTGATAGAGAAATTTTTATGCTTTGGTTGTGGTTTGTTTGTTTTTATATTTTTAATGCTTTGGTTGTGGTTAGTTTTTTTTATGTATGGAATGTTTGAATAAAAAGGAATTTTATTTAATAGTTTCTTTGATAGAGAAAAATTAAAAGCCTGCCTTCTCAAGCAAGTTTGGCTGCTGGCCTACAACCAAAGTGAAAAAATTTAGAGTAGAAAGTGAAAAAATTATTGAGTAGAAAGTGAATTTGTTGTTAAAAGTGAAGAGTAGGGATTGGTATTTATAGAAAAAAAATTCAGTATTTTTTGGGGTTATTTTAAAAATTTTTACAATTTTGTTTCATAATTTTTTGCCTTAAAAAATTCCAGGGCGTTGGATTGGATGAAAAATCAGAAATCGGCGGACCATATTGCGCCACGTGGCAGAGGACAGTTGACGCATGTGTTGCACGCGCCAACAGTAAAAAAAATTTAAACCTGCCTGCTGACGTCACTCTGGCATCAGCGATGACGTCAGCTGCGCCTTCGGGCCAGCACTCGGGCTACCCCTGCCTTCGGACCAGCCCAGGCTAGTGGACCCCACCCTGCCCGGGCCAGCCTCTATTGCTGGAACTTGACTTTGGGCTCTTGCCGCGCCGCCCCCCCACCCCCCCCCCTCCTCCTAAGCCCTAGGGGGCTGCTGGAAGTGGCCTAAGTGTTTTTCTCCCAAACCCTGCAGGTTATTTCTGAAATTATTGAAACTTGCCGTGCACATGATTTTACAGATGTTGTTTTGTTTCATGAAATATGCCAATCATGATGAACATTGAAAATTAAACCCATTTAATTAATTAGATTTATGATCTTGATAATTTTTTGACCTTGTTGCTTTCTGACCGAATCTGTGCTTGAACTTAATAGTTTGGGAATTTTGCTAAAAATATTCTACTTAATAGGTTACAAGACATGACATCAAGGACAAGAAAGCTATGGGAACCATGCCGCAGGTTTATCCACATGTGATTCTTGACAATTTCACGACTAAGGTACCATCGTCTTGATTGCTCACATAACCCAATATATTTGAGAAGAAAGATAAGACCCCATGGATTAATAGCATTGGTCACAGATTATAATTGTTGTGCTAATCAATGACCAGTACAGTTTTCATGAATTTACTACTGACCATGAAATTTCGAGGACTCTCACCCCTTGAAGCACCATTTTGTGTTCTGCTGGTTTATTCATCTCCATCACTCTATCGCTTTCCCCCTTATTACTGTTCTGACTTTTTCTAAATTCTCCTCTCTTTTGGGTTTTGCATATGTGGTTCTGCTATACCTTAATTTTATGTATAAATACATCACTCCTATTTTTTAGTTGGCCTTCTTAGTTACCACCCTATCAACATTATATTATATTATCTTTTTTCTTCTTTATGTGTTGATAGTTGTCTGAGAGAACAGCAAATATTTTGAAGCATCTCTTTCCAGTGCCAAAGCCAGATCATTCAGACTATATTTCATTCAGGTTTGTTGTCTCATTTGTGCTTTTCTTTTCCCGCTGTGTGGTTTAGTAAGTGAGTTTTCTTATTTGCGATTCTGTTCTTCGCTAAATGTGTAAGTTTTGCTTTGCTTTTCCGTTGACAAACTGAGAACCTACAGGCATCATACTTATGGGAAGCATGGAGGTCCTAAATCCATCGTTCTGGAGGAGATTGGTCCTCGGTTTGAAATGAGGCTTTTCAAGTTTAGTGCTTGTTGACGCAGAAAAATGGTTCTGTACTTTCCCGCGCAACTTAGTGATTAAGTCTCTTCGGTACCTGATGTCCTCGGTGGGGTGTGCGATCTGTAAGATAGCAAACACACGGTAAATCCTAGGGCACCGGTGTGGTACCGGCCGAAGGCTCTCCGATGCTTAAGTAAGTACGGATTTAGTAAAGTTGAACTACAGATCAATATGCAGTATGCCGTAAGTTCTGATTGATTACCTTCAAGCTGGGATAGGTGTCCTCTTTTATAGGCCTTGGGAGGTGTGCAATTTGCTTAGAGTTTCGATGTGGGACTCTGGGCGTCAGTTGTGGGGCTGCCACGTGTCAGAGAGGCGAGATTGCCCTAATGTTGCCATCGGTAGGTCTGGTACCGAAGGCGAGTGCCGAAGGCACACGTAGCCCTGGTTTGGTCCACGTGCTTGGTATTCATTGGCTGTTCATTTCGGTATAAACAGGAGTCCCCCAAGTCCCCTTGCGAGTGTCTTCGGTAGGGGATTTGAAGTTATCTTCGGGAGGAAACACGGTCTTACCGTTCGGTAACCCCACCTGGGGAAGGGGCCAAATTTTGCTAATTCCGGCATGACCAGCTCAGAGGCTGACGTTGGTGAAGTCAGAAGGTCGCGTCGATCCGACAGGCGAAGGGACGTCTGAGCGCTTCGACTTCCGCGCCTCGCGTGCCGTCAGTTCTCCATAGGGTGAGCGACACGTGGCGAAAGTGATGATGGCGCGCGGCGCATTAATGCGCCGTTTGGTTTTTCGAGGAGTACCGTTGCCAACCACTTCCCCTATAAATAGAGATGACCCTGGAGGCGGACTCACTTTGCATTTGGCGAGAAGTGAGAGCTCTGTCTGAGGCGATTTCCGACGAGGGCTTTCGGCAATCAGGCGATTTCCGGCGTTTCGAACGGTAGAAAAGGCGATTCCCGGCATTGCGAACGGCGGGAGAGCATCCTGAAGAGCAGATCGTACTTATCTTCCAAGGCATACGTTAAGGTACCGTTCGGCACCTTTCTCTTTAATTTGCTGCATGCCTTAAGGGTTACGTCCTTCCTTGGTTCGAACTAGACTGACCATAGGATTCCATTCGGTAGTCTAGTCGCCATAGGTAGCGATGTAGGGATCGGTAGGATAGCATCGACATGAGCCTTAGTTTCCCTTTTTCCTGTTTTTGTAGATGTCTGATAGCGAGTCATTTTCCGAACGCGAGCCCAATGCGTTCGACGAGGAGTCATCGGACGGTCTCTTTGACTCCGACGGTGAAGCGGCAGGGCCTGATGCTGAGGGCGGGAGTGATACCGACGTCGAGATACTCGGCGAAGGGCCCAGCTTCATTCCAACACACGGGGTCGGAAAGAGGCTAATGACCGCTCCCGTCCCATTGTCCATCGTCTACAGTGACGGCCGCCACGTGGGCCTCGGTATGCCCGGGGAGGCGAGCGGTAGCCGTCAATCGGAGACCTCAACTTCCGGCCGTGGAGAGTCGGTAGCCAATCCGCCATCTGGGCCCAGGGTATCGGTAGTGTACCCAAGGAACCCTAGGAAAATCTATTCGGCGTAGACTACCTTGGGCCGAACAAGATTACCGATAGGAAGATTGCCAAATTACGAGCAGAATACCGTATTCCCGACTCGGTACGGATGAGGATCCCGGGCCCTACCGAATCCCTTAGCGCGCCGAAGGACGGCGAAGTAGTTTTCTTTACCGACGTCCTTGTGCAAGGCGTTCGGTTGCCGTTGCAGCCGGCGGTGCAGAGGATTCTAGCCCAGATCGGCTATGCCCCGGGGCAATTCAACCCCAACTTCTGGGTGGCTCTCATGGGAGTGATAACGGCCTTCGGCATGGCTGGCGAAGGGAGCCCCTCCTACGAGCAGTTCTCCCATCTGTACAGCGTCACCAAGTCCAAGTGTGCCGATCATGGCGGGTGGGTGCAGGCGAACTGCCTCAGGGCTGCCGATCGAGGCCATTTCGTTAGCTGGGTACCGACTTCACAGAAGTCGTGGAGGAATCGGCGGGTGCTCCTCTCGGGCGACTGGGAGTCGCCTTCGGGACAGCCCGTCCGATTTCGCATTCCCACAACCTTCCAAATGGCCGGTAGGACCACGTACCGTTCGGTACCCTAACTGAATTATCTGATTACCGTAAGTAACCCTTCTTTGCCCTTCTTCCTGTAGGCAAGCTGAAGCAGCCGATTGCAACACAGGCCGAGATTCAGTAGGTGGAGAGGGTGAGGAGGAAGGTCCCTGCCTAGGAGAGAGTGTATCCGCAGTTCCTCTTCACCACTAATCTGATCCGGGCCCAACTGATCGATCCTGCCGAGAGTAAGTACACTTCGTAATTCACGAATCATTTCTTTTCTTCTGTTGCGGGTCTTACCGAACCCTTTTTTTTTGCAGTGACGGAAGACCAGAGAGCTGCCGAGGCTAAGAGGATGAACGAGTCCTCCAAGCGCCGTCTTATGATGGGCTTCCAGGGGAAGAAGAAGAAAACCCAGCCGCAGGGCTCGGCACCGGTAGACCCCGAGGATCAGACCTTGGCCGACCGTCTCCGCGAGCTCAATGCCGAATCGGCACAGGCCGGAGCGGCAGCTGCCGGTCCTTCTCCCCACCGAGGCGCCTCTACCGAAGGAGCCTTCTCTCGTGCGGCCGGCAAACGGCCCTTCACCGTCGACCTAGATGCCGAACAGGCCCCAAAGCGCGGACGGCAGGCCGAGCCAGCTCGGGCTATCTTTGCTGCTGAAAATGACGAGGAGCCTGCCGATCCCGTCACCCTGGCCTGTCCGTCGAAGACGGTCCAGTTTGCGAACCACATGATCATTGGTTCGCAAATGGAGCTGAGCGAGATCGAGGAGCTGCCGAAGAAGCTTCTTCGGGAGGAGGCGGGTCGCGCCTTTCGTCTTCAGGCATCGGTAAGTCCAGAACATTCTCAAGTCCAGATGACCAATCATATTTATATCTTTGCTGACATGCTCGTTGTTCTGCAGGCTTCGATGGATATGTGGCTCTGCATGAAGTGGGCCATCAATGCTGCTGAGAAGGCGAAGAAGGCCTACGACGACGGCAGGGCCAGGGTTGCCGAGGCTGGCAAGGCTATCCAGGACCATGCGAACCTGGTGAAGGACTTGCAAGCTGCCGAACGGCAGGTCAAGGTTTATGAGTCCAAGTTCGCGGATCTGTCGTCTGCCCTGGAGTCGGCACAGCTATCGGCTAAGGAGGCACTGGAGGCAAAGGAGGCCGTTGCGGTGGCGCTGGAGGAGTCGGAGCGTGCCAAAGCATCGGAGATTGAGGCTGCCGTCCAGGAGGCCATTCGGAAGTATCGCCACTCTACCGAATTCTCTACCTTGCTCGACAAGGAGGTGGGCTCGGAGATGGTGGATCTCATCTACCGATTCAAGCGGTACAATCCTGGGACGAAGCTCAATTTGAACTTTATTGCCGATCCTCCTCCCCTTCCCGAAGGCGTCACAGAAGAAATGATCGAAGAGTACGAGGGAGAGGATGCTCCGGAGGAGACCGAAGTTGCTGGTGTCGAAGGGGCGGATGCCGAGGGCCCTTTTATTGATAAACTGCCGAAGGCAAGATTACAATTAGGAGCGCTTTTTACAATTTAGAACCCGCCGTTGGCTTGGTAACGCTATGATGCCGAAGGCTGTGCTTGTGGAGATGCCGAAGGCTTTTGTGGCTCTCCGTGGCCCTGCCGTAGGCAAGGTGACTTCATTTGAAATAGTACTTCAAATGCTCTACGTTCCAAGGATGACCGAGGGTCTTTCCGTTGGAGTCTCTGAGTCGGTAAGTCCCCCATCGCTGGATACCGATGATTTCGTAGGGTCCCTCCCAGGAAGGTCCGAGGGTTCCTTCCGTGGGATTCTTGGTTGCCAAAGAGACTTTCCGCATAACCCAATCTCCGATTCGGAAAGAGCGGGATCTGACCCTGGAGTCATAGTACCGAGAGACGCGTTGCTTGTAAGCTTCGTTCCGAAGGTTGGCTTGTGCTCGGCGTTCCTCGAGTAAATCGAGGCTCAAAGCCAGTGCTTCCTCATTTGCCTTCGGTGCGAAGGTTTCTGTTCGGTAGGAGGGCTCTCCGATTTCTACTGGGACTACTGCCTCTGAACCGAAAGCCATGGAGAATGGTGTTTCCCCAGTTGCCGTTCGGTAGGAGGTTCGTATGGCCCATAGCGCTTCCGGAAGCTTTTCCGGCCAGGCCCCTTTGGCTTTGTCAAGTTGCCGTTTCAACAGCTTCTTGACAATTTTGTTCATGGCTTCGACCTGTTCGTTCGATTGGGGGTGTGCCGGCGAAGCAAAGAACAGGTTGATCTTGAGTCGGGTGCAGAATTGCCTAAAGACTTCCGAATCAAACTGCCTGCCGTTATCCGTGACAATGGCGTAGGGGATGCCGAATCGGCAGCAAATATTCGTCCAGACGAAATCCTCGACTCTGGCTGCCGTTATTGTCGCTAGGGCTTTGGCTTCTACCCATTTGGTAAAGTAGTCTACGGCAACAACAGCGTATTTGACCTGACCCTTGCCCTCCGGCATTGGACCAATTAGATCTAGTCCCCACTGAGCGAACGGCCACGGGCTCACGATCGGTGACAGTGGCTCGGCAGGAATATGAGGGATACTACCGAACCGCTGGCATTTGTCACACCTCTTGACTAGTGTTCGCATCCTGGTGCAGAGTCGGCCAGAAATAACCCTGCCGGAAGATCTTGTGTGCGAGCGATCGGGATCCAGAATGGTCACCGCAGATTCCGCTGTGGACCTCCCGCAGGATGTAGTCCCCCTGCTCCTTGGTCAGGCATTTTAAATATGGCGTCGTGTAGCCCCGTTTGTACAGGACATCGTTGATGACCGTGTATCTTGCCGATCGATAGCGAAGTTTCCGAGCTTGGGACTTATCGGTAGGAAGGGTTCCGGCGGTCAGGTAGGCATAGATTGGAGACATCCATGTGTCTTCGTACCGAACTGTACATACTTCGG